TGTTTTGCCAAGTATAAATTTTGAAACACAATCCTTTTGAAGCTTCACATCGCAAGACGTTCAAAGTGATCTCGCAGCAAAAAACTCTCTGCCAGCAGACGACAGTCGGTTTCTTGGTGCACTGACACACGCGCTCCCGTGGCGTGTCACGTGCCTCGCTCCAACACTCTTATTGGGTCCGGGAGAGCTGTAGCCTCCACGGTTCTCCAAGTAATCGTGAAACGGAGTATAGTTGAATTCCTACACGGCCCAGCAGGATTGTCAGTAAATTAATATTGTACCAATGTGCATGTTTTTAATACCATGTGATGCATTTTCAAGACTTTGTCGATGAAAGGTGTAAAGGTCTTGGAACTCACTTTAACGCACTCATACTTAAAGTGTTTTACCATTCTTCTCGGCAGTGACACTTTTGTAATTATGTATTTATATGACATTTGCTTTGAGATCACCCTCTAGTGTTATGGTGCTCGCTAAATCTTGTTGCTCAGTGTTTTTTTGTTCCCGAGAGTTGTTTCAGTGGTGTCCGTCCCCGTGTAAAAAGTCTCAAACCGTAGGCATCGGCGTACATCAGGCTATGCGTCTTGCTCTTTTTGTATTACGCAGGTTACTAGTTTGTTTCTATGCTTCTCTAATGGCAAGTATTCTGATGTTTTTGATTACAGAATGGGGTGGGTCAGATCAGCTAAGTCTCAAAGAATACAACTTAGCCATGATTCTGCTTGGGTTACAGGATTCAATGTGTTTTTGCATAATGTGTGCTCATTATTGGCTGTTAATACATTTGTAAACAGAGCTTCAGTTTGGTTTTATTGTTTATTACGCTGACCATAGGCGTAGACTTCGGGGGGGCTTTGGGGCTCGTGCCCCCCTGGTGAGATCCGTCAAGGGGCAGAGCCCCCCCCCCCCTTGGGCCATGATCCTTACCGAGACGCTGTTTACATGCCATGTAACGAGCTTTTAGTAGTGGCATATGTAAACAAAGTAACTCCCACATTCTCTTTATTGACAAATGGAATCCCAGCATGCTTTCATTAGCTTCAATCTCCAGTTCTGGCGGAAAGGTAACGTGCAGCACCCCCCCCCCCCGAGAACTTCTCAGCCTGCCCCCCCCTCCCCCCCCCCGCGGGAAAATGGAAAGTCTACGCCGCTGACGCTGACCTCGTTTGTCTCGAACAAAATCTGCAAATGATAAATGTGCAGTCAGACTTCTTTTTGACTGTTCCTCTTAAATTAAAAATGGCAGACCCAGCTTCCACAGTGGTTTTTTTTTTTTTTTTTAGCCATTGCAGATTTTAGTTGAAGTCAATGTGCCACTGGCAGAGTAGCTCTTAAAAAAAATACTAGTTTGCCATCCTGTGCCATGCAGGACCTCGCTGTAACAGTTTCGTTCCCAAGAAAATGACTACCAAGTGGGCGTGCACACCGCTGCAGTGGCAGTTTGTGCTACTGGTAGCAACAACAGCCGAATTCCTGCCTTTTAGGATGTTTGGGTGTGAGGTGACACGCTTTCGCTGCTGCTGTGTAATGCTTTGTCAATATATTGCTGCCTTGACAGAAGGTATGGAAAGGAGATTGGGCAGTCTAAAAATTTTGAACCAGCTTCATTGCAATCTTACTCCTCAGCACTGGCTACTTTGTAATTATGTAATGTTAAATGAAATTTATCTTTTTCAACCATCACTGTAAACAGTATTTATGTGACTGCCATATTCTGTTGCACGGTGCATTTGTTCCTGAGGGTTGGAATTGCGCTTCTTGGCTCTCTTCACCAGAATTCATGAACTGTGGTGGTCATTGTACAAAGAACAGCATCTCCTGTTAGTGTTGTTATTGTCTTAAAGATACTGCAGCCCGTAGATGATGACATGACTTGTTGGAAATTACAGACATGCACAGAGTCTGATGGCAGAGGGTCCCAGTCATTTGCAGTTCGTGCAAGAAAAGAATCAAACCAAAGCCTACCAGAGATTGCACTTGCATCCAAAACAAACTTTTAAATAAAAATAATAAAGCTGGCATGCGATGAATATATTGGTGATTGCGACTTTTTTTTTTCACACTGCAGTCTCTTAAAAAATTTGTTTTTTTTTTTTTTTTTTTTTTTTTTAAGGGCTTGAAAACTCATAAATTGTGGACACTCGACCCGCCCCCGAGTGTTCACCCGTTGGCAGAATGTGCCTCCAGTTTGAGAGGACGGTTCCCCTGCTCCCATGAAGTACATAAGAGCCCATCGAACTGAGGGATGCGCTCTTTTTGAGGAAAGCAGCTGGCTGTTGCGGACGTGCCGAATGGTACTGAATACCTTTGAGTTAAGAGATGGAGTTATCTGGTCGATCACCTGCAGCAGACGCTCGGCGTTTGCAGATATGTGAAGTAGGCAAATTTCCTATCATGCGAGCCATGCATTGTGAAACTTATCTGCCCTAAAATTCTAGCAATGATTTTACTAATGGATATTCCATTTTTGTGTCAGATACTTACGCATCTGATGTGTGTTTTTTTCTGTTACGGGGGGACACTGCGCAAAAAACAATTTCTGCAAAAAAAGTTGATTTTAAGAAATGCCATATTTACATCTACCCACATCGTGAGAGTATTCCTAGAAAGTTTCATTAGTTTACACACTGCAAAATAAATTTTTATAAATTACTTTCGGCCCACCGATGCTAAAGAAAGGGTAGGGGTTGGAGCGCTTTGAACGCAATTTTCTCCATTCCACTTTTCGGCATGAATTTCCCTTTACGAAAGCTATTGTTGTTAATGGGACAAGAGGAATGACTCACGAGAAAAGAGTCAAAGTACAGGCTAGCTGGTGGAAGTCAACCATTTCGTCGTTTACCCTGAGACTGGGGGTTTTTTTGAAGAGCAGAAGTAGCAGAAAAAACAGACCTGTCTGTTTTTTCTGCTACTTCTGCTCTTCAAAAAAAAACCCAGTCTCAGGGTAAACGACGATATGGTAGGAATGACTCACTCATTGTTTTTCCTTACAAATTTTATGGACAGTGGAATTTTTTTTTTTTTTTGGCTTTGTGGATGCCTTTTATGAATGATGTTAAAATTTTGTCGACAACATAAAAAGCGAAAAAAATTATTTGATTTTTCACCGCGATGTTAGCATAAAATCAATTATTTTTTGGAAATTTTGTTTCCACGGTGTCACTCTCCAGGCAGTCTGCTGCAGATCTAGAGTAGAAAAATGTTGGGTATTACATTAGTTTCCTAATGATAGTTTATCCTAAACAAAGTCGGTGTGCTCCTGATCAAAACGACTAATTTATTTTACAATTCATGTACAGAGCACGACACTGTTAGCCAGTTTTTCTCTTTTAAACCAAGGGATGTCCTCTAAGATTGGAATTTATCTGCATGGTCTCTGGAGAACAAATGGAACAATTGCGCAGTTCTCAGCTGACTTACCCAAACACTGCGTCAGCTTTTGGTTGGAGCTTCTGTTCTGTCGCCTAAGGATATGGGTTCTTGTAGCCACTCCGGCCTGTGAACATTGCGGCTTGCACTATGCATGTCTCCAGCAAGGCTGAATAGGTCAAGCTCCCACCCATTTTGTGCTCTAAAACAAACCAGAAAAATCAGCGACTGCACGTAGGGAACTCCAACTTTCACCAAATGTGCATTGAGGTGGTCACTTCTACCTTATGAAATTTTAAAGCGTAGTCCTGTTTTTGTAAAAAAATAACACCAATAAACTTGCCAAAGTCAATGGCGGACATTTTCGCGGACGACTATCTTGGCAATGATTGTAAGTTGTGGAACATGTCCGTGCCAAATCCTTGTTCAAGCTTGTTGGATCTCATTTGATTCCGTAAGAGAAATGTGCCTTGAAATTTCAGGAGCTGAAAGTGGCCACCTCGGTGCACATTCTCTGAAAGTTTGAGCTTCCTACGTGCAAACGCCGATTTTTCTGGTTCGTTTTCCACTGTGGACTTTTTCAAGAGAATCCTGCAACACTTCTACAGGGTAATTTATCCTGAAGTGTAGAGGACTAGCTCAGCGGTTTATTTGAGGGGGTGTTGGTTGCAATTTGGATTTGCTGAAAGCGAAAAAGAAACATTTTGTAAAAACAAAAACGTAGAAAAAAGAAGTTTGGGAAGGTGAAGATATGGGCTACTTTCAAAAATCCCTCCATGCCACACTGCTCGCGTTGTTCATTGGGAACCAATTGGCCACGGGGCGGAGTGGCGTGTTTTCGGTTTCGATCATACAGCCGCTGTCTATACTCCGGCAGATAAGCACGTGAACTTCTAAGCCTGTATAACTTTTCTTCACGCGCATACGAACGTGCTTGCACGACAAGGGCCCCAGCAAGGACGCTGCAACCCATCGTTCTACATTTGCCTACCTTACCTTTGCCAAAAATCCGGCACATCGAAAACCACCAAACAGTGCCAAGAAGTTTTTGGTTTTGTTCTTGTCGGGATCTCTCGGCAACGCCTACAGCTTTGTACACTTGTAGGAAGCTTGTTTCATCACACAGCTCGATAATCATGAAAACATCTGAAACTGAAACCAAAACTAAGTGGTCAACTGGTACCCAGAAATAATTTCGTGCCACCGTGCTACAAGGGGGGTTTCGACTAGGGAAAAGGTCGATTAAAGATAATGATAAGTATTTATCATGATTTGCGAGTGTTGAATAAAGTGCATTAAGAAAAACTACTTGTCTACAGTATTTTAAAGAAAAAAAAAAAAAGCACCTTTTGCATTGCCCTAACGTGTGCATCAGTAATTTTCGAAAATGCAGCGAATATAAAATAAGATAAAGTGGCCACAGAGTATTTGTTTTCCATATTAAAGCACTTTATAGGCCTTTACAGCAGTGTACACCATTGAGATCAGTGGTGTACACCTTTACGCAGATCCTCGGATCCATTGAATGTCTAAGTGTATAGATGGCGCTACACTACGCCCGTTTCAGACGTATCGCTTCAGCTGCATCAGAGCCGTATATGTAGACTCTGAGCTGCATTCGTTTCTCCATTATTCATTTACGAATGCATATCGGGACTATCGGCCAACGAGGTAGCTATCGGCCGAATCTGCAAAATAACTTCCGGACTGCCGTGACCAGCTGTGACTGCTGTGACTACTTCTTTTCGATGCAACTGCTGCTTACCGTGGGTGTAGTTGGAGTCAGTACCTCTTTCAAAGGCTTCTGGACTTCTCATTCAACAAACAGGTACTTACTTTTCTTAGCACATCTTGAACGCGCACGCAAAGATTAGCGGAAATGCGGATCCAGCGAGCTTCGCATGCGCTCTTGGCGTGCCTTGGGAGGCAAAGGTGAACAACAAATATCAGAGGAAGTCTCTTATCTATGAAGATTGATCCATACGTTCAGTTTTTACGAGTACATCGTAGAATGTATACTTTCTCCTCCTCGCGAGAGAGCTGGGCCAGTAATGCGGATGCATCATTTTATGCACTAAACGGCCCGCCAAAAATGAGCAACTCTCCGATTTGAGCAGTGACCTGTTTTCGGATTGCGTTATTTTCGTGGTCAGGTTCGCGTTTTGAAATTCGGGGTGACAACTTCGGGCACTGCGAATTACCGCGGCTTTTATACGGTGTTACGTTAAAGAATGTTCCGAACCTGAACCAACGATTGCAGCCGAGAATCGGCTGGAGCTTTCTAAAAGAATACAAATTAAAAAAAATCGGAGCGACATTGATACCAAAATCGGCTGCGTTTCTGCGGTGCTTTGTAGCAGACTACGTCGAAATGCGATAGGCCTGTAGCTGTCAAGTTTTCAGCAACGCCCCTCGCAAGCCAATGCGGAGCGCAAGTTCGTCTGCTTCTTGCACAGGGGTTGAAAAAAAATTAGTAAGTGGACCTCATGCATCTAGCATTGAGGTCTATCCACTATCCTTTCAAAGCGAATCAGGGGTGCTATGTTGCGCTTTTTGCACTCCCAGGAGACTTGGAAGAGGGAAGTGACGTCAACGAAACACTAAATGCAGATTGGATGTTGACAGAAGAAAACGAAATCAACACCCAATCTGCGTTTGCTGTGTCGTTGACGTCACTTCCCTCTCCCTAGTCTCCTGGGAGTGCAAAAAGCGCAACATAGCCCCCCAGAGCTCGGCATCAGTCTCACGTCACCACAACTCTTTCGCAACCAGCAGGAGAAAGAAGAAGTGCGCCTGTATATAGACGTCCTTTTTCGAGCTCTGCTTATTTTCCTGATTAGTTTGCAAAATCTCTATCTGCCGGACTGGAAGGGGGCCAAGAACCAGAGGGTTTACGGCCTGGTCAGCAATTTCAGCAAGCATTACGCCTCCAGACGCTCGACGACATCGCCCAGCTTGATGGACAAGGTTCCTCCCCAAGGGGAAGGTAAGCCTAACCAGATAGTATGCGATGCTGACGCAGCATATGAGATGCAGAAAGGGACTGCGGACATAGTAGCGATGAAACCCTGCAGGCGGGAGCAAGAAAACGGAAGACGAACGTGGACCTGGCCACAAACCTCGCGGAAAGCAAGGACAATGATCAGCCCACAACAGTCTCAGAAAAACACCGTCAACTACGAAGCATCCTTGCGAGGCTTCTAGCAGAGGAATCTTAAGAAAATCTCATCACGAAAATCTTGGGCCTCCTTATGGAAATCACTGCGAAAAAGAAAACTTCGAGGAAAAGATTGAAAACTCTCAAGGAAACGGAAGCGGCCAAAGACTCTCCCACCTCGAATGCAAAGCCTAGCGCTACGCCTACGCGAGAGAGTCTTGCGAAGTTATATCAGCGCCACGCCAGCAGGAGAATGACGCAACGCCACCCGAAGAGCAGCAGCCATTACAACAGCCACAACCAAGTGGCAAGGACACAACGCAGGGTGGGCAGGATGAAAACGCCGCGGACAACGATGACGACGGCTCCATCAAAGTTACAAACAAGCGCAAGCGACCCAGAAGGGAACCGCAGCCAGATACACAAAAACCAAACGAACATCTCGATGAGGTCAGGATTCGCCCAAAATCCAAGACACCCATGGGAGAGTGGAAAATCGAAATACTAGGCTACCTAGAGAAGACACTGGAAATTAAACGTAAGGATATCACTCTCAAATACTTTCCCAAGTCGAATACCATATCCGTACGCACAGACTCGAAGGAGGTCCTCCAGAAAATAATGGAGAACTCCACCTACGAGAATGCAACAGGAGAAAAAATTTAAGTCAGCAGATACCAAGCCTACTGGAAGAGACATATTAAAGGAGTCATTTATGACGCCGATATAACAGGAGAGGCGGAATCTCTTATTGACCTCGTCGATTCAATACAAGTCCCGGTGGTGGCAGCAAGACTGATGGGCAACACCAAGACTGTAGCGATCACTTTTGAAGGAGAGAAACTGCCTCGATCCATACTATTCAACAGGTACCACGCCCCACTGCATCCGTTCAAGCCCGAAACGATAGTCTGCGCGAATTGCCACCGTACGGGGCACAAGCCAGACATTTGTGTTCAAGACCCTGTCTGCGCCAGATGCGCAAGGACACACCCGAGAGAGGGAATGGACACGGGCACGAGCGAAAGCGAATGCCCGGATCCCAAGACCTATTGTCAACAATGCAAAAAGGAAGGCCATCTCGGTACGGACAAGAATTGCGCAACGAGAATAGAGAATAACAGGAAGATGAGAGCATCCATCCAGGCAATGAAAGCACTACCTCGATCATCGCAGATTGGAGCTCGTATCGACGCTGTACGAGACCCGTCGAGTAACCAGACAACAGCTCCTGCAGCACCAACTGCAACGCCGCAGACAACGGTTCCCGACAAAAACCCAAGCCCAACTTCATTGACAAGCTTCTACGCCAACGTCTTGTGTAGGAGCCTGGCTGAAGCAGAAAACCAATCAATTCGCGCAGAATTGCAAGCTCTGAAAGGAATTCTACAAGCATTTGTCGTTCAACAAGGACAATGGAGAGTGCAACTGCCGCAGCAGCAACAGATGCTTCAGCAAATGCAGCAACAGCAGCAACAGACACAAAACTTCATTCAAAAGTTCTTCGGAGGGGCACTCTTCCAACTTAAGGCTACCACATCCCCGTAGATGATCAAGGTCATGCAGTGGAATTGCTGAGGGCTCCGACTTCGGGCGGCGGAGCTCAACGCGCGGTTTCATGCAAGATCACAAGATCGTCCGGACGTTTTGCTGATGCAGGAAACTAGCACGACCCTGACATGTATCAGAGGATACGCAGTGTACTCAACGCCCACTATCACGGACAAGAAGGGAGGCGCACCAGGAAAATCAACGATCTTCATAAGCCATGCCTGTCCACATCACCAAATCGATCTCTCTCGGTGGTGCAATGACGAGCAAGAAGTCGTCACAATATGAACAGATATCGAAAAGAAGGCTATCATAATGGTGTCGGCCTATTATAGACCGAACAGGAAAACGAAACCTTCGGATTTCTGGAACGGCTGGATTGCCCATCTGCACCAGACATATTCAAAAGATCAAAAGCTATACTGTGGGGACTTTAACCTTCAGCACGTAGCGTGGGGCTACAGGAAGAGTTCCAAGACAGGCAAAGAACTTTATGACGAGATGACGCAGCACGGCATGACGTTAATGAACAAGGAAGGCGTAAAGACACGAACCGGACTGGGGTTTAAAAGTCAATATACGTCTCCGGATCTGACGTGGACAAATAACAAATTTGTGAAACACCAAAAGTGGAAATGCGGTCCAGACGCATGGGGCAGCGATCACGTCCCGATTTTTGTGGAGATGTCACTAACTAAAAAAAGAAAGGACGTAAATAACAAGACAGCGGGCACGATCTTTACGTTCACTGAACGCTTCAAAAGGCCTCCATACGTGCGATACACCGGAAAACGTAGTGCGGCTGGTGCCAGAACTGCATAACTTTGAGCTTTGACACGGCGTGGCGCCACCTTCGTGTAGGACTTGGTACGCATTCATGTAACAATGCCGCGTCGGCTTTGTTCGAAGAACGAGTGGAGTCGATGCGCTGAAGTCGCTTTCATGTAAACGAGGCTAATGTAGAAGCAGTGTTGCTTACGACCTTTCAAGGGCAGATGGATAATGCTTTCTGCTAGCTCATCTTGAATGGGGAGATTCATTTTGTTTGCGGTGTTTTATGTTGTATTGATGAGTGTCGTCACATTTGGCACTTTGAGAAAAGATTGTTGTTTTGTATTTCTGAACAGGGGGGGGGGGGGGTCTCAGAAGTTTTCAGTTTGATGTAACGACTTGTTTTTCTACGATGCTCCACTTTTTCTTAGCTGATTGGATGTTTATCGTACTAGCAGTGCGACAGAGAAAACATATGGGTGGTTTTTAACATACCTTCAAATGCACAGGCTACCACCCATTACGAAGCGCATAGGCATTGTATTTCCTCATTCATTTGTTAATATAATCTAGGAATTTAAAAATTCTGCGTAAGTTTTGCGTGTCTTATTCTTAGCTGTTTGGTTAGCTTGATGCACTTGAGGCAGTGCTCGCTTTGTTCTTAATTTCTGTCATCGCTCTTTCCATTTAATCGCAGGCATCACGAGTGGTCCCGTCCGTCCTTCGGGATCTTTTGAGCCTCAGTACAAACCCGACGGCAGGCAGCAACTAGAATGGAACCGATACAGTCCTCAAGTCTCGGTAAGTTTTTCGTGTCAGACTTCTATAATCACAGAACAGTGGTGGTGTCTACACTACAAATAGCCATAGTCTAGAGCAGTGCTTCTACAGCTGTCAATAGAATCTTACCTTAGGATTCCATGCCGATTCCGAGATCCTCCACTGGGGACACATCCTCAGTTAGAGCCCAGAGCATGAAATAAATATTATTCTTTTTATCATTATTATTATTACTGTAATGATAATTATGAAGAATATGAAGGAGAGGTGGGTTGGGCTTCAAGGAGAGGGAGGCAAGCAGCAAAGAAGGAATTCTAGGAGAGGTTCATAGCAGTAAAGAATGAAAGTTGGCCAAGTTAAATGTTTGGTTCCTAGGCACGTTTGCGGGAATGGCCTCCAGGTGCCGCCATCTCTCCACTGGTGTGTCATGGTCGTCTGCTCGTCAGGTCGTGCCACAGCAAGCCCACATTTGCCAGGTTGATGTCCCAATAAAGCGTTTTTCAGCTACAGTGGCCAGATGAGCTTTTGATGCTTGGCTGTTTGTAATGTGCATAGACAAAAAGGGTGGGGACAAGATAAGGAAAGTTGCATGATTGCTATCTTCCAGGTTCTAGAGTTTCACTGGGAAAGAATGGGCAGGATAGAAAGACAGTGAAGGACTATAGAAGGAAAAATTAGAATAAAAGGGAGGACATAGTAAGCAATTAAATGGCAAGTTTATTGCTCTTGGTACATGGGTAATGAGAACCAGGACTTGTAGGTTGAAGCAGGGGGCAGATTTAAAGGGGGGGGGGGGGTCTGAATGTCCTGACCCTCCTCTTGAATTCTGCATGTGTAAAAATTTAGGGTGTGGAAACGGGAAGGGGGGGGGGGGGGGGGGGGTCTTAAACATATGATACGCTGACCAACACCTGACCCCCCCCCCCTCAAAAAAATACCTCCGTCCGCCCCTGGGTTGGAGGTATGAGCAGGCGGATACAAAATTTACAATATTGGGCCGGTCGAATGAAACTATTTGTTTGCAGAACAAATTGTTTGCTTTGTTGGGTGTATTGAGTGTTTGCAAACATTCTGCTCGTTTATGGCAACATGCCATTCTTTAAGAAAAGGAGCGGACATATCTCTAGCACCGACCAGGCTGCCCCTTGTGGCAAACAGACGGGCTTTGTCAGGACTCAGGAAGCAGACGCTGCACGGAATGTGTCCGAGCGAGCTAGTTCTTGCTAATTGGAAGGTGCATGCGCCTTTTTAAAAAAGGCAAATTTCGTCTGTGTAGTTCGATGCAGTGGTACAGATAAAAACTGGCCTTAATCTGCGTTGATAGCACGCCGTGGACGGACGCACACATGTATGCACCAAACAAGAAAGTTGCGCAAGAGCTTGCGACTGACAAGGCGCCCGACTTGGCCTGACGCCAAAGTATCTGCCAACACGGATCGCCTCGCCGGCTTCTCCACTACCCCAGCATCGCTCTTTGCCGCTTCTTTCGTTCGCTCGTTGCACCTGGATGGTTTTTCTATTCCTTGTGCACCTTTTTTTTTTTATTATTATTAACGGGGAGAACATTGGGGTGTCAGAAACATGCTTTCAAGGAACAAACATTTGCACTGTATGCCGATCGGCGGTGTTCATAGCAAGTATGCGAGGTACGGACTTCACGATAGGAAAACATTCTTTCATGAGTATTTTTTGCATAAAACAATGAAAATAATTCGAGTATTGAGTTTAATGTATCGCTTGTGCAGCCGTGCTAGATACTCACCAAAAAGGGGCGTTTTTTTTTTTCCAGCTATTTGTGCTCACCCACCGAGACACTGCCCACGCCGCCTGTTTTATGAATTTCAGACGGCAGGGGGGTGGGCGGTGACTCGGGATATTACGATAGGTGGAAGTGATTCGGTATTAGTAATGCATTACATACATGTCTGGATTCACTGCTGTCTGCTATCATTTTCTTGGGAGTGAGAGAAAATCGCTGTAAATGACACCAATAAAACAAAATCAGTCCGGTTTTAATTACCAGGTTTCACAAGCTGCAGGCTCTTTGCGAAACTTTATGCATGCTGACGTCGACGGGTCAGCACAGATCCAAGCAATCGTAAGCAAAACATTCGGAATATATGAGCCGTTAAACACACAGAAATGTCTACATGTGAAATATTTTCAAGAATCGTCTCCACTCAAGGATGTTTTTCTTGACTAGGTTCTGTTTCAATTCACAAACGTTTGTTAAACAGAAAAAAGTATATTTATTTGATTTAGCAGTGTAATGTTTCAGCTTTTCCAATGGAGAGTACATTAGTGCAGTGATGGAAGCGCTGCGCCATTTGCACCATATTGCATCATGAACAAAAGTTTGCCTCATCTTGCGCCAAAATGCCTTTTTCGCTAAGAATTGCACAAAACCTGCGCCGAGATAGGCAAAGCAAAAAATAAAATATTTTATTATTGGTTGACTCTAAATTTGAGAGAAGTAGGAGGAAAGGAAAAGGGTACAATTATATATTTCACTGCATCTCAACTCACTTTCTATATAGTTTGTTTCATCTTACTTAGCTCAGCAGTCAAAGGCTCTAACACAAACAATCGTGAACACGCATACGGAAAACGCAAGTTACAGGGCATTCGCTGTACCTGATTCATTTAGTTGAAAGAGTATGCACGAAAAAACGGACGAATGCCATGATGTCGCACTTTGACGCTGTTTATTTGGCCCCACTAGCTAGCAGCAACAGCTGCACTTAGAATTAAGGTGAAACAAGGTATAGAAATTGCTCACCAACCATGCTGACTGGATGATGCGCTGACTGCTTGATCGCTGGCATCATCTAAATTTCCAGACAATGTCATTGATGTCGGGAGCTAAATGCCGGGAGAAAGCATTGGAAAATAGTAGGATGGCGGCTACTTTGATAAGAGAGAACCAGGTTCTTGTACGCCTGATCAGATCATCGGTTATCATGTCTGCCACACGCCTCCGTGCCGCCTCTCATTAGCACGAGTGCGTCGAACGTCACCACCTTACACTGAAATTCTAGGAACAGAGGTTGACATGTGTGAGCCTCTGGTTTAATGCAATAGGCTCAGAAATTATACTCAGAACTGTCACAGATCTACTGTATTTGGTCCTGATTTTAGCTTGATCTCTAATTTTACAAATCTGATACGAGGAGAGAAAAGCAAATAAAATAGGGGTCTATGCTTGAATAAATGCGGTAGTCAAGCTTGTTTCCCAGCAGCTGTTGATACAAAGAGGAGCAAATTTTGACTTCACTCTGGTTCTAACGCTGCTTAGACCACTGTCACTTTTAAAGCACAAGTGTAAGTTTTCATCATATTTGTGGGTGATTGTTTTTGCTGTTTATAATATTCAAGTTTTGTGTTGGGTAGGTTCTTAAAACTTGAATGTTTGTGTGCGTGTGTATTTGGGGGGGAGGGTCACATTTTCATTGATGGACATAATTTCGCAAATATGCTTGTTTTTTGCAGTAATTTAAAAAAAATATATATATATATATTTACAGGCTAAATACACTACCAGGTATAAAAGCAGAACGGCAGAGAGAGTTTATCCCAACTGAAGTATTGCGCTACGATTCATTTTTCAACCACTTTTTTAAGTATCCATTGTAAATAGAACCCTCTCTGATCTGAACCTTATTTCTAAAAATAAGGCTCCATGTTCCTTTTGCATCCTATCTATATTTATTGGAAAAGGTAATAAGTAATATTGTCAAGTATCAAAGAAATTGTCAATCATTATCACGTCTGAACTTATTTGGCGATGCAACCACTCTTTCATTTTCGAGTGATGTGCAAACAGATGTTAGCATCTGCTCCAAAAGCATCAGTGGCTGCTCCAAATTAGTATTTTGCTTGCTACAAAACCTGCTACAAAACATCAAATGCCGCTTTCATCACTGATTAGTGGCAGTCCCCTGATTTCGTTTTGGTACTAAAATGTACAACCCACCACCGTTCAACAGAGTGGTGCAGTCTACGTGTCTCGGCGCTGTTTCATTGGTGAAAATTGAAAACACTCCGCCACTAGCCGGACTTGTTTTACTTCGGTTCTTGAGGTGACATCGAGTATAGATTGTAACGCATTGACGCCTCCAAGTGGCAAAGTTCATAACTGCTGTATGCTTGACCCTGCCGAAGCCTATGGTGGTCTGGGCCCGACGAATATCCCAAGATGCATTGTGCTCCTCGATACTTGATATTGAAGTGCATGCCGAAATTTGTCATTTAGAACAATAAATATATGCATCCTTTCGAAATGCAAGCAAGCGATTATCATTTACAGGTATTGATTCTATACAGCTTATTTATAAATGTTTTGCACCTTTTAGATTTTGGTTTGGTATCCCTTGAAGCTTCCTCAAGTTTGAACTTAAAACCTCCATGCTCTTCAGTGTTGCTTCTTCCAGATAACCAACTTATTTTACTTGGTCATTAATTACAGTTTAGCGAAATGTAATGCAGCCATGAATGCCGCTTTTAGTTATCTTCGACGAACATGCAATATTTAAATGCAGATACTAAATTTTCAAAGTGTTGGAAGTTAATCATGCAGGTATTACACCTACAAGGCCAAGTGCAGGAAATTTAAAAATGAAAAGTTGCTAACAGAGTGTCATTTAATAATCTTGGCACTGAGTGTGATATGTATTGTCCCAGTCATATGGCAGTTCCCTTTCAACACAAGACATCCAGCTTCCTTAATGCCCCGAGAAACAGTCCACTTCAAATAGAAAGTGATGCTACTTTGTGGTTAGGCTCACTTTCAGAGTGTTACCAAAAAGTAAAAAAAAATGTTGTTGCCAGATCAGGAATGCTTGTAGGAATAGGAACGACAGCCTCTTCACATCTCATTGACAAAGACTATCGGAATGTGAATAGTGGTTTTAAGTTTTCTGAACTGTTTTTTCGGACGTCTTTGCGACATCATCACTCGCCCCATAAACTAGTGACTAAAATTTGAAATGATGCATTTGGCTACACAGCCGAATGCACACAAGGAGACTGCACCACTCACAAAGAAAGCAAACTCCTACCACATGTAGTGGAAAAAATATGCACTCAACAGTACCAGTGCTGTTCACGCTTATAAAACAATGGAGTGAATTTTATTTGAATGCTTTCATAAATTGAAATGAAGAGCAGTAAGGTATTAAACCAGGTACTTAAAACTTAACTGCGTTGATAGGTGCTTATTTCTATACCAATTGTCTATCTTGGTAAGGCTTTCCTTGTCTCCTAATACATGGCATTTTCTTTTAGATGATGTAGCAGCACAGTTGGGGGAGACCAGCTGCCACCTGAAAGCTACTGAGGACATCTGGTTCAGATGCTGTTCCTGCATTTACTTCACCCGAGATCAGCGTGGAATTGTGAGCCACCTGGTTGCCCACAGTGATGAACAAGTCAAGTGCCACAATCTCCTGTCTTCCAGCTCCAGGTCTGAAGGGCACAACACTGAAATGCACAGGGGTGATATGTTCTTTAAATGTAACCTGTGCCCCCAAGCCTTTGATGACGATGCCAGTCTAACTGAAAATAATCAAACACACACAGCTGAAAACCCATTCAAGTGCAAGCTTTGCCCCCAGGCCTTTGCTTGGAGTTCCACTTTAAAAAACCACATTCTAACACACAATGGTGAAAAACCTTATAAATGCAAGCTGTGCCCCCAGGCCTTTGCTCGGAGTTCCCATTTGAAAGACCACAATCGAACTCACAGTGCTGAAAAACCTTATAAATGCAGGCTGTGCCCCCAGGCATTTGCTCTGAATTCCTATCTGAAACTCCATAACCGAACCCACAGTGGTGAAAAACCTTATAAGTGTAAACTGTGTTCCCAGGCCTTTGCTCGCAGTGCTGGTCTAGCCCACCACAAACGATCACACAGTGATGAAAAGCCATTCAGGTGCAAGCTTTGCCCTCGGGCCTTTGCTCGGAAGTTTCATTTAATAGACCACAATCGAACGCACACTGGTGAAAAACCTTATAAATGCAAGCTGTGCCACAAGGCCTTTGCTCGTAGTTCTCATTTGAAAGACCATAATCGAACACACAATCGTGAAAAACCTTATAAATGCAAGCTCTGCCCTCAAGCCTTTGCTCTAAATTCCCATCTGAAACTTCATAATCGAATGCACAGTGGTGAAAAACCTTATAAGTGCAAGGTGTGTTCCCAAGCCTTTGCTCGCAGTGGAAGTCTGGCCTACCACATTCAAATACACACTGGTGAAAAGCCATTTAAGTGCAAGCTATGTCCCCAAGTCTTTGCACGGAAGGGCTGGCTGATGTGCCATAATCGTACACACACAGGAGAAAAGCCTTATTTGTGCAAGCTGTGCCCAAAAGCTTTTTCGAGCCCGACTAGTATGAGCCGTCATAGGCGAACACACAGTGGTGAAAAACCTTATAAGTGCAAGATGTGCTTCAAAGCCTTTTCTCAGAATTCTCATCTGAAGAGCCATAATCGAACACACGCTGGTAAAGAAACCTTATAAGCACTAGCTGCATTTCTAAGCTTTTTCTTATAATTTCCACCTGAAAAAGTATGTGGAATGCTCACAAGCTTGTTCCAAAAGTCCAGTCTGACCTGTCGTAATTGAATGCAAGTGGGTGAAAAGTCCTTAAGTGCAAGCGCTGTTCCCAAGACTTTTCAAAGTTTCAGTCTGAAATTGTGTGATCTAAAGCACAGGTGAAAATCTTAAGTGCAAGCTGTGTTCCCAATCCTTTACCTGGAAGTTTTGAAGCTGTGCCCCCAAGCCTCTAAGATTTTTCATCATCTGAGAAACCATAATTGGTCAAAAACGGTGGTGAAAAACTTTATAAGCATAAGCTGTGTTTGCAGCTTGCGCATATAAGGTGCTCACAGTGACAGTCTGATTTATCAGAATCAAACATACGCTGGTGAAAATCCGTTCAATTGCAAGCTGTACCCCAGGTCTTTTGACTTTCATTTGGAAACCATAATCGCATGCACACAATGCAATTGAGCTTCGACCGTATTTTCATGCGATGCTGTGGTGCACTACCTCGTCAGTGGGGCAGCCAAGATCGAAATCATGCCACTCCCCTCCATGGCCAGAGAGGCTCTATAATGCAATGTGCGAAGTGTTGCATGCAGGGATTTTTCTAAGTATTTTGCTGTAATTCACCTGTTTCCCCAATACTACAAAGAATGAAAACTGTTTTTTCTTGCGCAAACTGTTTTTTATTTTGTGTCGTGTGTATGTTTGTACAGCCTGAAGTTAGTCTGCCTCGACGGGCGACTTGTCTCTCAGCTGTAGATGGGCATTTTAGCCAGTGTGGTACCAACGCTAGCCTGGGGTGGTTTGCTCATCTGGCAGCCGCGGTTGCGGCCGAGGGGGATTTTTATGTCGCATGACGTCTCCATGGGGACATGGAGATCGTCATATGGGACATGGAGATCGCAGAAACTGGCAACAAAGGCTTTCAACTGGAGTTCATATAACCGCTACTTTATGCTTTAGAATCGACAGGTAAAGGTAAACATGAGCCAGAATACAAGAGAAACTTGACATGATAAAAATGGTGGCAGTATATTTATATATCTGCGCCATTGACCCTACTCAAGCCTTCTGCTGTAGTCAAGAGGTAAGAGAGCCTGGACTTGTGGTCGCGGCGCAATAATTCCAGGCTGAAAGCACGGCACATTTTTTTATTTTGTCAATTTACGTTTTGCGCCCGTATCTTACTTTTTAACTGCGATTCTTTTTACGTATCATATTTGCTATATCTGAGGTTTTGTTTCTTGCATTTCACCTCTTTCATTTCTCCCATCATACCTCCTGTTATTGAAAAGTGTCAAAGCAAGCACACTGTATATTTAAAAACATAAAATTGTAGTTGCTGAGGGAAGGATGCTTGTTTCATCCCCGTTTGCATGCCAGTCGTATCATTGCTGTCATCTTGGTTCCCTTTTAATGAACATTATGAAACGATTGCATTAGCGCATTAACTTGGCTTGATCTTTCTTTTTTCTTTCGGTGTGTCAATTCAACAAGTGGGTCTAAGAATAAAAATAGTGTAAGGCGCAGTTGTGCAAGTGGTTGATTTGTAAAAAGGATCAAAGTTAAAAAGTAAGACACGCGCAAAATGTAGATTTAGAAAAAAAAACACATTGTACCGCGACATGAGTATGAAACTTTCATGCTACAACAATTCCCGGCTCTCTTACTTCTCAACTAAAGCAGACGGCTCCAGACTGGTCGCTGGCGCAAGTATATAAATTTACTGCCACCGTTTTTATCTCGCGTGATTTCTCTTGCATTTTGGCTCCTATTTACCTTCCCTGGCCGTTACTTTACCTGCTGCGTCTAAAGTATAAAGGGGTCGTTAATTGGACTCCAGTTGAAAGCCTCTGCGCTCAATTTCTTGGAGCGAAATTGAACTTTTGTACCCAAAGCGACATGGATCTCTTTGCCATTGGGCAGGGACGCTAGGTACTTCCATGTCCCCATGAGCTCGTCACGTGACGTAAAAATCCCTCTTGGCCGCAATTGCGGCTGAGGCCGCGAGATGAGTAAACCGCCCCTGTGCTCTTTAACATGCACCACGCAGTAGTGATAGACGACCCCATGCCGGTACCATGCTCATCCAGATCGAAACGGGCAGGGGTGGGGATTGAGCCCAGGATCTCTGGGTTCTGCGGTACAAACTTTCACTCAACGTGCTCCAAGTTGGTGTGCGTCGGCTAACTCGGCTACTGAGATGCCCCCTTTATTTTAATTTTTTATGAAACATATTGAGGGTTAAAGTACCTCTCAACTCACACTGCTTTTCGGGTGACGTCACTGGGAGCATTTCCTGGTTTCCCACTGGGTTCTGTCTTTACGACCTCCAGCACTCCCTCCGCAATTCGCCTTTTGCAAGATCCGACTGCGCGTGCGCCGTCTGCACTTGGAGGCCAACCATGTTTCTCGTTGCGCCCATGAGATGGCGCCACAGCGCAATACAAAAGGCGAATTGTCGATGCTCAAGGATTGGCATCGCTGAAGGTCGCTGCGAGCAATTGAGACAAAAGGCGGTTCGCCACGAGGCTGACATGGCGGCTGTCGGTGCGAAGGGGAAATGGTTTTGCTACTTCTGTGTACTTTCAGTGATGGGACACCTTAATTTCTATAACCACCAAACATGGCTGCAGATTGACCAATAATGCGTTCTTTGGGATTAGGCGGTGGAACTTCACCATTTCAGAAAAAGGTAGCACGTTTTGTCTCACTCATGTGAAGATAAATAATATCAAGAGTACAAGCTGCAACTTCTTTCAACATTTCAAAAGTCGCTCTGCCCCTTTAAAGGAGGACCAGCAGAAATATTCTTCCGCCTGGCGGAAAGCCCTCCTCGCCCTCTTTCTTTCTTGTATTGTAGCGCGGCGAGGAGAGGGGAAAGGTCCCCTTTTTGCGCCGGCTTCTTCTGAGAGGATAAGCCGAGAAAATCCCCATTCTGAGCGACGGGCGATGGGTGCGGCAGCAGCGACCTCGTGAGTTAGAGGTAGCTTCAGCTCCTATCGCGTAATCTGCCCCATTTTTTGGCGCTCACCAAGCCTAGCTCCTCGGGTGTCGGTTTTACGGAGCTGCAAGGCTGCGCCCGCGCAGTCACCGAATTGCCGCTTTCGAAGGTCTTTAGTTTAGCCCGTGGCAAAGTAAACGCATACTTGAGAGCTGCGATGCATCCCCGCACCCATTGAAGGAACGTTTCATAGATATTTTCGGTTGATCAAGGAGCTCAAAACACATGCGCGAGAAGTGGTGACTTGAATATGTAAGGGTGACTCACATCTTCACAAAACATTCCATCTTCAAGAAAAAACGGCTTATCACGCTCAAACCTGCCTCAAATTGGAATCGATGGAAAAGAAAACGATGTACCAGGCGCGGGCATCTTCTAGAAGGTTTCTGTTTTCTAGGAGCGAGCACAAATTATTGAAGAACTTTAGCAGACTATGTTTTCAGGCCACGCTATATTTAGCGGGAACTCGCGCTGCCACTTCGATGCATTCTCTGAAGCGTGCGCCTGAAGTGGCAGCGGGCCTTTGAAAACGATTTACTAAAATGCCCTGTTGTGTGCCTAACTCGCAGAACATGATGGCCAGCAAAATGTATGAAATTCATATTTACACATTCCCAACAAGCACCTGAGGTGAGAGGGCATCAAGGGTGGATGTCAATTTTAGAAAGTTTTAGTGGGTCGCTTTTAGCCACTTAGATAACCGTATTCGGTCCGTACCCCACAACGAAATGTAAGCTAGACTCGCTGTTTACATTCTTCATTGAGTGCGGCTATGGAGCGAAAAGACAATATTAAAACCCTTTTTGACGAGTCTAGCGTGTCGTGTTATGGTTCAACGTTGCTTGTATCGGTAGCACGGACCGCCACTTCGAAGTATTTGCGGTGTCTCAAAGAAACTAAGGCAAAAGCAGACAATTTTTTTTAACGTGACACAGAATTGTATTTAACATTGTAAAAAAACTTTTAGGTACCCTACGCTACGCAGTTAGCACAAACTATCACTGGTGTTTCCCACTTTTTTTTTTTGTTAGAAGAGAACGATGTTTAGGAAACTGTTAATGCGAGTATCCAACCTAAGCGGTAGTTTTTAGTGCGAGTCTATACATTGCTAAGGAAAATAGCAAAAAGCGCGATGTCGTGTTTGCGCTAACAGTGTCGTTTAATGTATGCATACCGCTGCACAATCAACGCTAACATAGTAAATCAGTAAATTTAGTGGCCCCCAAAAAAGTGGTCTTATTTTGCTTTATTTTTATGTTTGAAAAGTTGTTATTTTTAAACAAGCAATTCGGTAAAGAGTGCTTCCGTTGGGCACCAACTTACGAGGCATCAATTTGTTCTTATACACTAAATTCTGCATGGCCCTTGCGTAAAAATGTCAATATTGTGTTTCGTGCTAGCTGTGTCACGCACAGTAAGAAAACAAGTTTATTACTCGAACATTTAAACAAGGCCTTTCTTACGCTTTCTTACGCCAAATAGACGTTTTGTGAGTACGCTCTATTACTGGTGGTTTTTAAAATAATGTACGTTGTTTATTTAGAGGAAGGAAGTGGTGGTGAGGGGAGGGGGAATTGAATACAAAAGACGACTCAGGGAACCTTGAACTTTGTAAATATTTCGCTCAACCTATAATCCTGAGCTAATTAAATCACTTTTGCTTTGTCTGTTTTAGAACTTGTTACCAGTCGCGCAAAAGGCCAAGATGAGCGAAAAGTCAGATGCTCCTGTTTATTTGAGCAAGAAGCTTATTTATGCGAGATAGAACTGAAAAAGCGTACGTGTGTAACCGTAGCAATCTCCGACCAAGCCTGAACCTCACTTTTTCGCCATTTCATCGAAACCCGTTTCACCGAATGAACGGACACTTCATCGAACGCCGTTTCATCGAACGCCGTTTTATCGAATCGCCAAGGGCCGTTTCATCGAATTTCTCAGTTATGGCTCTGTACCGAGTTTTGGGGAATAACAGTGCTTTATAGATGTTTCACCTTGCATTTGTTAAGACTAAGGTAGTCACTTGAGATATTGTTTTGAAGGTGGTGTCAAATTACTAAAAATAAAAGCAATTGGCATAAAAAGAAATAAAAACAATTGGGTATGCGACTTACTGAAAAGCCTTACTCATGTACAGACATGGCTGAAACCACGACGCTGCAAATAAAGCACAGACACTTAAAACACCTTTAGCGTCTGTGCTTTCTGTTTTTGCCTCATTTTTAATTGTTTCATGTGACATGGAGAGGGGTCATTGTTTCATGGAGGCTTTCTTCTCGAAGCAGGATATGTTCACGATGGAACTTATCTCGCCACAGCACCCAGTGATATAAAAGCAGAAACAAAAGAAAAAAAAAGAGAGAATGAGATGAAGTTGTGTTTAAAAATTAAAGTAAATTCCAAAGTATTACAGACTGTAACATTGTTCGATGAAAAGGCGTTCGATGAAACGGCGTTCGATGAAACGGCGTTCGATGAAACGGCGTTCGATGAAACGGCGTTCGATGAAACGGCATTCGATGAAACGGCATTCGATGAAACGGCGTTCGGTGAAATGTCCGGACGCACTTGTAGCGGTACGCGTGCATTACGTGGCACTTTTAGCCCGAACGCGACATCGGCGCTTTTTACTATTTCTGCCCAGCAACATGTATTGTCTAGCACTGAGCTCTGCC